AAGAAAATCACTTGTGGTCTTCTAGTATCATCATGAGCCCTTCATAATCAGTTTTGTAGTCTTCTAGTTGCTGCTAATCTTTTGCCTTCACTAACACGCACTTCCTCAGGTTGTGTATGGTAAACTACAATCAATACTAAAAGCAAAAAGCAAAAGATAAAAACAAATGCACAATAAATTCAGGCAAACAGGCAGATTTCAAGCTTACCACCCAAGGCAAAAGATAAAAACAAAAGATAAAAACAAAAATCAGTTTCATTGCTTTTCAAGTCACCAATATCATAATCCATTTAACTAGGTAATTATTTCACCCCAAGACCAGCATTTAACTCAGCATGGTCATTGTGAAAAGTATTTTGGAAAGGCATACCCATTTCATCTCCTTCAGCTTTGACATTAAATGACTGGCCTTCACAAGAAATATATGGAGCACAAGATGACTGTTGCACTGATTCACTGTCTTCAAATATAACATTACCAGGAAAAAATGAAGGATATTCACTGTCTGTTGGCAAAAATTGCCTGTCCTATAAAGGGACCGAACCACCGGTATTCAAATGCATGTCGGCAATCATATTTGCAGTATCAGTTAAAAACTCCATTTTTTCAACCTTCATGTTCCTCGTTTCTCTTCATTTTTCCAGAATTCAGGACAAACACCATTAGGCAAATAAGCATAACTGTCAGTAACAACAGGTCTAGCATCTATACCCTGGTAACAATTCAAAGATGAATAGTAGCCATTAAAATCACTAGGAGCATCGGAACCTTGACAAAAAGTAGAATCAGTTGAAGTTCCAAAATGTGCAGGCATGTCAACATCCACAAACGACATTTCAAAAGTTGTACATGAATCATTTTCCTGCTGTCGAGAAACTCCAATAATGTCCTTCAAAACTGATCCATAATTTGCAAAAGTTCCATCAACATTCTCAATGATGGAGCTGTGTGAAGCATCTGCAAGCAGAAAAAAACAATCAGACAAGCGGCAAAATTCAACTGACATATATGAAACTTTTTAAAGAATGATGGAAAAGCCAATATCTTAATCTAAGGATAACCCAACGAAGATTTCGCATACATTCGGATTCTACATGATTTGTAACATGCTTGATTTGGCTAGTATTGTGACCCTTCCACAGACTCGAGTTCAAATTATCTCTACAAACAGTTACAACATTTGAGTTTGCTTCAGCAAAACTTATGTCTGTACTATAAAAAGGCATCTCACGTTCAGAAACTCCTGCCCCTTCTGCATAGCAAGTTTCGTCACTTTCAGCAATAGAGAATGAGTCCCTGTAACCACCAGCAAAAGCATTTGGGGAATAGCAGGTTTGTGATGAAGGTCCTTGGTTTTCATGTTCGTAGTCAAGCATGGAAGAATTCCCTGCAGAATCAGATGAATGAGTTGAGCCAAGTGTCCAAGAATCTTATTCATCTGAGCAGAATTTAGAACGGCCTGACTGAATCTACTAAAGTAAAAGCTTGGAAGAAGTGGTTATTCAATCACTTAAGTGCCTAAGCAATAACAATCTACTCTACAATATTAGCAACTACGTATTGCACATAGCAAGTTCAGAAAGTAAAAATAAACTCAAGAAAATTCCAATGCCACAAATTAACCAGACCAATTACAACCAACAAGGACAAGAATCAATGACCATAAAAAAGGCCACCAAAATTTACATACCATTTTGAAGTAAAAAATTATCATGGTCCCAGATTCACCGGGTGAAACGTCTTTCAATGAAGAATCCTCGTGACTACTCTGCATTTAACTCAGCATGAAAAAAACAAAAGCAAAAGATAAAATCAAATGCACAATATCATAATCCTACAATCTCAGCGTCAAGCTAAGTCCACACAGGTCTCATCTCATTCCATAGCTATCGCCTTCATTGCTTTTCAAGTCAACAATGGTAAATTGAAGTCAAACAAGCCAAAAATCAACTTAACATTCAACAATAATACAGAAACCAAGTTGAAATCTAACCAGCACACGGAATCCAACCTCAAACAATATCAAACATGCAACACGCATACATCAAACAAAATTTTAGATGATCCTAATGATTAATCTAACCAGCACGCAGAATCCAACCTCATCAATTATAGCCTGAATCTTCTCTGAAGCTGAAGTCACGCTATCTATTGAAATGCCTTCAATGGCTGCAAAAGAAAATTATACCAGTTAGATGATATGAAACATATCATACCATATCTTGCTCTTATTCTAGAATAACTTAGTCTTTTGTATCAAATCACAGTAAACCATCAAAAGCAATTCAAATTCTTATTTTTTCCTTTTCCCTCCTTTATTTAAAACTTCAACATTAATCATATAGAAGTTTTGTAGACAAGATCTTGCTCCAAATTGCCAATATGAGTCAGCCTAATTTATATGGAAGTTTTGCCTCTCACAGTCAGCCAATATGAGTCATCCTAATTTATGTTTCTGGTCTATAATTGTTGGAAGTTCTACCTTCATTGCGGTCCACCCATAACCGCCGAATTGTGTCATTTCGGTTGTCTTCATTGCAGCCTACAACACTTCAATTGTGTTTAATGTGAAAGGGTCAGTTTAGCCATTGAACCTTTCATGCATTCCTGTAAGATTAAATATATGTTAGCCTTATTAAAAATATCAAAGAAATTGCATAAGGTTGAATTTGATGGTATAAGAATGCAAGTTTTATCCCACATACACCACTACTGTGAATCTTTCAGTGACATCCCACTCTAATATTAGTATTGGGATGAAGTGATGAACATATCACAATGCAATGCAGAAGTTAATGTAACATTTTGTCTCCAAGTTTGAAAATGGAAAACCTTTGAATTGTGAATATATTAGTAGACGAAGTGGTAATAACTAATAGCCACTGAAAAACTCAAACACACAACTCCGATATCTCGGGTTCGGACCCGGGTAATGGTGTCCAGCCTAACAATATCGGGTTTTGACAGTTGAGCTAGGATTTTGAGACCGAATATATTATAATTTTAAATGCAACAAAATAACAAGTCCATAAATTTGGTGAATGCAACAGTCCTAAAATGCCTTATTATATCTTGTCAAATGTCAATAAATAACAAGCAAGTAGGAATACTTGTGTCCTGTTTTGATCCATAGGAGTTCAAAAATAGATCCTTACCAGTCCCTTTAATCCAATTGACACAGGACGGTTATCCAGTGCTTCCATAACTTTTGAGGAAATACTCTGCACAGATATACACATAACTATGAAGAAAGAATTTAACTTACAAACTCTATTATCATGTTGAATTTAATAAAACTTACCTGCAAGACCTCAGTTGTTGTCTTAACTCTGTCTTTATTCCACAGCTTAAGCATTAGTACTGTAAGGTGAAATGTCTTAGGCTTAATGAATATAGATTTGTCAATCCCCAAGTCTGTAAGAGTGGGAAAAAAAACAGTCATATTTCATATTAAAAAATATCACATAGAAGAATGAGATTAAAATAGAAGAATTAATATCTAAGCTAAATCTTACAGAAGAAAAGAGCTGACTAAGCTAAGCTAAATCTTGATACTAATAAAAGAAAAGAAAAACAAACTACTTACAGTGATATTTGAGCCCTTTCCATCTAATCTACTCCCCTTACTACAATAAATATCCACAATGACTTGGATACAATGACTTGGATAAGCTCCACAATGACTCTCAAGACACTCAATAAGCTTCTACAATACTCTCCATCCATAACCATGGACTCAATATCATCTGATGATCTTCACATGACCCCCAAGGTAGGAGGTGAACCATATTCATTCATCTGCTCTTTCAAAGAACTTTGACTTTCTTATGATGATGATAAACATTTGATAGCTTGAATAAGACCTCTTGCTTAGGCTTAGAAACTTTGGTAATCTCCTCTTGCTAGGCACACCTCTCTTGATCCCTTGCAAATGAACAATGATATGCAAATGCAAATGGTAGAACAATGAGATGAAACATAAACTAAGTTAGAAAAAGGTTGGACAAATTTTGGGGTGCAACAATAGACAATTGAGCCGTTTTAGGAGCAGAAGTGGATTGAGCCATTTCTGTCCATTGGGTCAGTCCAAAACAACAATTATACACCTACTAAAGCCTATGAGTATCTCTGCCACTGCAGAGGTAACATACACACATGTACTTTTTGACCACTATATTAAAGTGACAAAAAGAAAATGTTATTATCTTTGTAAAATTCATTTTAATTGTTAATATACTATTTTCAAATAATATTATTTTTGGTAAATAGAAATATTTTCAAATAAGAACTTTAACTATTATAATAATACTACTAAATAATACTAAATATGATATTTATTAAAATATTAAAATGAAATAATACAAAATATGTTAAGATTACATTTTCTATTTCTTAATTTGGTAGTACTACCATAATAATAATTTCCGTAAGAAGATATATATTCATAGAATCACAATTATTAATCAACTAAAACATGCTACATCCGTTTCGTTCACTCACGCGATGCACACATTGACCCCTTCCCACACGCATGAACTCACTTATGAAAAAGTACCCTCCAATACTTACCGAAATTACACTTTTACCATTCTTCCCAACAAAAATACAAAGTACCCACTTTAGTTCTCTCCCACTTCGTGTGTTTCTCAGAAAGAGAGAATATGCAAAGAACTTCTAGAGAGAGAAACTGTAAAGGAGAGAGAAACCTTCTTGCAACAAACTCTCAAACTAGATAGATACTAAATAGAGTAGTTTAGAATAGTTTATGTTTTGTTGAATTATTATTTTTTTAGTATTTTGGGTTTGTTAGGTTTTGGGTTTAAATTAGGGTTTTGTGTAATTGATTTATTGGGTTTTGTTTTAGAATTGAAGTTTTGATTGTGTTTAGGGATAACTGAAGCACTTTGTGAGTGTTTTTTTTTCTCTTTCAATCTAGCTTTTTGAATGTTTTGTGATGAGTGAAGTTAGTGTTTTCTAGGGTTTGTGTGTGTGGGGTTTCAATGGGGAGTATGGGTGAGCATGATAGAAAACGGCGTCACTTTAGCTCCTTGTCACCCACACCTGAACCTGCCAAGAAGTTACCGTTCCTGCCTATTTCTGAAGACAAAAAGGTATATAAGATTTCTAGTTTTTAATCCACTGTTTATTAGATTTTGATGCTTGTATTTTCTGTGGTTAATTGTTGCTTGTTGCCTGAATTTTGCTTGGTTGTTATGCATAATGATTAAGTGGAAATTTTAATCTAAAATTTTATTCTGATTTTACTTGGTTTGTTTGACTAGATAGCTGCTTGCTAGTTCTTTCTCTAGATCAAAGGTTTTTGAATCAAATTTATTGTGAAAAATGGTTATGATTATATATGATAGTCATATGCTTAAACGAAAAGTTAAGGCTTGAGTTTAATTGTTCTCGACCTCGAATATGATAGAGACCGGTGGTTTTTTTACTAATTTTTGTAGTTGATCTGCCCTAGAGGTAGGACTTGTTTGATGTTTATCAAGTTATTTAACCAAAACACTCCTTGTAATCTGCCGAGTACACTTATTGTTCGGTGGTTTCCCTTTTCTGGCTTCATTTTGCTTAGAATATAAAAATAATTTTGATTATGGCCTATCCTTTTGCTCCCACCATTTACTTATACGACCTAGGGGTGTAGGATTCAAACGATGTTGTTGATCCAGAAGTGATGAATTTGATGACTGATTAGTTACTTTTGATTTCAGAGGCGGTACTTTTACTAGTCTAAAGATTGGAAATTCTTTAACACCCTTAAATCATTCAATCCTATGATTAGCAATGAACACTGCTGATAACTAGAGAAACAACGATTGAAAGTTTTGTTTATGTAGGATGATACTGATTTAGTTTCATTCCTTCATAAGTTAATGCATATGTATATATTTAATAATCCGAATCTTGTAAAAGATTTTTTACCATATGTTTTATTCCAGCAACTATATGTCATGTATTTAACGCATCATATAGATTTCATTTACGGATCTACCACATAGGCTGAACTGTGCTAATAAGAAGTGTCACTGTTTGTATTTGAACTTATGCATTCTCTTCTTATGTTGTAGCTTGATATTGCTGTACTTCAGTATCAAAATCAAAAGCTTACACAGAAATTAGAGACTCAGAAGTTAGAATATGCAACTTTTGAGAATAAATTTTCTCAACTGAAGGAGAGGCAACAGTCATATGATTCTACTTTAGCAGTGGTCAAGAAGTCTTGGGAGCAGGTAATTGGTTCAATTTCATTATTGCTTCCTTCTGTAATATTATATGATTGCCTTAGTTTTTAGTTTTCTTATTGATTTATTATCAATTTACATCACTATGGTATACTGATTGTTGTCCATCTTCTAAGCATAGCTGGTTAATGATCTAGAGTCGCGTTCTGAACGCACAAGGGAGTCTAACCGCAAAGCATATTCCAGATTTGTATCAAGTACAGATGGTGAGGATCATTTGCTCACGGCCTTTAATTTCTTTTGTTGTCTTGTTAGAAGAATATGTGATCTAATTATTTGTTTAATTGCATGTATTGCCACAATGCATTTTTTTTTGTGTTCATTAACAATTGAACCTTGATTTTTCTCTTTAGCAAGTCCATTCATAATAAACTTTTTACAAAACTTTCAGTGTTGGGTGTAGATTATCAATGCAAACACCAGTTGTGTTATATACTTTTTCCCTCGGGGTCTTCATTGTTGTCTTCATAAAGTTACTTACAAGTTTCATTTTGCGTGCCGTATAACTTGAATTTTTGTCGGTACAATCATAAAAGTAATTTAAACTGCAATTTCAGAATCTTTACTTATTCAACAATCGAGTTAATCTATTTGAATACTGCTAAGTAATATTTTCCAAGGAGCCAAACAAGTTATTCTAAAGGCACAGTTTTTTATACCCATGCAAAAGGTAATTGTAGCTCCCAGTTGCCTTTATGTCTTGTAGAAATCCTGTTGGAACCTTAATGAGGTCAATACCTAGGCTTTTTGAAAGTTTAGATGGCCATGATGTTTAATTTTCATTAGGAAATTTTTTGCTGTCCTTATTAGGGGTTCAACTATTTGGGACTTCAAGTTATGCTATTTAGGTTATATTAGGTGATTTAGGTCACTAGTTAATAATATTGATTAAATGCTGCTTCTTTTATTTTAACGCAGCATCCTGTGTTTGGTATTGCTATTAATAGGGAGTGTAGATTCTTTAAGAATTAGAGCTTTAATTACAATAGTTCTCAATTTAAATTTGGATGAGTATAGATATGATTGTAATCTGATGTTTCTTTTACATAACATAATATTGAAATTTAACTCATTCACCAAGTTTGCTCATTATTTTTATTCAAACCCAGCTCTTGGCCTGGGATACACTTCTCTTGACTACTGATTTATTTCTTTCAACATGAGGCCTGTCACTTTTCTTTTTTCATTTGCTGGCTTCCTTAGAAAATCTTTCTTACCCTGTTACATCGTGCCTTTGGGCTTTTCTTATCAGTTTAGTCTTTCATATTCACTGGTGCTTGTAATCTAATCTCCTGCTAACCACCGACACAAGTTGCCTGATTTATTAGCTTTACTCCTTGAATCTAACCTTAGGTTGTTAATGCGTAAAATGTTTGCTGATTTGCTGAAAGGATAGAATTTAGTAAAATGGAATTGGATGCTTCTAGGTTCTATTGTTCAAACTGTTTAAAATTGGCAGGAATGGAATTGAATGGAACTTGCTTGAATGTATTTCATTTTATTATACTGCATACAATACCCTTTTTCTTCCTCTCCAATAGTATGTGATGGAACCATCTTTTCTTCCTGTTACATTGTAAAAATATTCAAACAATGAAATTTTCATTCCATTTTCATTTAATTCCATTTCATTCCATTCCAGTAAAGAAAATTTGGCTTTCTGCGATGGTCCTTCATCCGCCATCGATAGGTTAGAGGTGCTTAGAGAGGTATTGTGGAATGCCGTCCCGTTTAAAAGATGGTTTGATATAATTGCCCATATATTCATGCAAATAAAGATATCTATAGGAAGATTTTACTTAATACTTATACTTATGAGGGATGAGTGTATGCACCAAACATGAATGGATTAGGAATGAAAAGATTAGAGGGAGCAGGATATGCAGAAAATAGTAGTCATGCTTTAGGTGGTTTTGAATACGTGGAGAAGTCTTGTGGAGGTACTTGCAAGTGGTTTGAGATAGAGGGAGACTTAAGAATATTTTAGGTAAACTATTAAGGAGGATTTGAATCTAAATAGTTGTCACCAAACATGCTTTATGATAGGACAGTTGACATTGTTTTCCTATGTAGTTGACCCAACTAGTGGTAAAAGGCTTCAATGGTTGTAATAAGATTTTGGAGCAGCAATGCTAAATGCGTGCAGCGCGGATGTATCATGTCATACTGCTTGCATGGAAATACACACTGGTTCTTTGATTCCACAACCACGTCCAAAATAACACTTCCCTTCACACCAAGCAAAGCACTAGTATAATAGACATTCATTCATTTGTTCAATGTTTAGATCTGTCATTTATGCCTTCTATTGTTTTAAAATATATAATAGGAAACATTTTTCACTTATTTATTGATGTGATTACTAGGATACCAAATGGTTAGCTTTAGTTCATCACACATTTTCTTTATGCTATTTTTGGTAAATATTTATATTCACTAATAACTAGTAATGTTAGTAATCAAGAGCCCCCCATAAGTTGATGTATTCCACTGTGGATGAGATTTAAGTGAAAACAGTTGAATAATTCCGAAGGGTTCTACCTCTGTTATCAATAGCATGCTTTAGCATCATAGAGTGAGATTGTTTGCAATGTAAAACAATAGTATATGTGATAGCACACGGTCTCCCACACATCTTTTGCAACAGTGAGCCCTTCAAAAACCCATAGAAACATTATATTTTAGTTATCTACAGAAGAATTGGGGGCATTTTAGATATTTTCCATGAATGGCTAAAAAACCCTGTGCTTTCTGAAGTTTCTAACTCAACCGCCTTGTGCGAAGTTGCAACCCAGGCTCCTCCACCACGACCAAGCTTCCTCTTTGATGACTTTATGGCAGGATCTGCATTTTCTGCGGTGCTTTCCGGAAAAGTCTCATTGGTTTGTTTTACCCTCCTCTTGCGCAACCTATCTTTGTTGCTTTGTGTTCCATTCTAATAATCAATGTCCAGTTGGTTGGGGACCCACAATGTTGCCTTGTTTTTGGTAAGTTGCTACGCGCTGCCGTTCTGGTTGGAAATTGATGATTATGGGTTCTACTCTGGTGCCGATTCTTGTTAACTATTTCTCTATTACAAGAAAAAAAATGCAATAAGTCGAATGTAGGTTAAATTTATGGATAATTTGAATTTTTTTCAAAATTTTTTCCAATCATGTTTTGCCTCTTCACTTCTTCCTTCATTCAAACAAGCAGAAATTTTAATTTCTGTAGCTCTCATTCTGTTGTATTTTCTTTTGTCAATCCAAATATAGTATCACAATAAAAGTATTTTAAGATTGTTTAATATGCAGCAGAAAATCTTAGATATATGTTCCATGGTTTATATTTCAATTATGCATCATAATTCTTAATTAATTGAGTGTTTTAACCCATCAATAGATTCAATACTGCATTCTATTCAAAGAGGCCTTTGGAAGTTTGAATTACTTTCAGTGATATGTGCTTCAGTACCTATCTTTCTGGGGGTTACAGTTTCTTTGCTTAAATTACTAAATTTTTTGATATTACATTGGGATAAGACATTAATTATTTATATGTTGGGGAAGTATATCAGCTAATAAGGATTCTTTGATTTGTTTGCCAGATGGTAGTTCGTCTACTGTTCAAGATGTTTTTCTTAACCGACTCTTGCAAACTGGTGCAACTGAAAGTTCCTCCTCTTCTCACTTCGCAAATGAGATGGATCAACATAGACAAATTACTGCTGAAAAAGCTAAAAGCATTTTGAATAATATATTGACATTTATTAATAACTTTCGGTGTTTGAAAGATGGATTTCATACTGCACTACTGAAAAAGCTTCGAGGAGATGGTAAGCTATAAGTGCCTAATTATTATATATGATTAAGCCTTATTCTTTAAGTGCAGTCTCTTAGCTTACTTGGTTACACTGCCTGTTTATAGTTTCATGTGGGCAGATGTTATCCAATGATATGGAGGTGGAAAGTAAAAACTTGAGATTGACATTAAGTGAACTTCACTTAAAGCACAAGTCTTTAGCAAGTGTTTTCCGAATTCAGAGGGATCTGGATGCAAAAAATAAAGCTGAGCTTAAACAATTAAAAGGTAAATTCTCTCTACGCATTTAATCTTATCCTCATATTGTAAGATATACCATGAAATCTATAAAGGGACTTGTTTCAAGTACAAAATAGAAATAAAGTTGAAAAGTATATAGATATTTCAATGGCTGTAGAGTATGCATATGACCATGGTTGTCTGTACTTGAGTTATATTTTTGGTAAGAAATTGAGGGTTTAATATGTTTTATACTCTCTCTGCTCCGTTTTAAGTATAGATTTTTTTTACTTAATTGTTGTTTTCAAAGTTCAAAGTAGTATTAGTTATGATTTTTGTGAACATTATCCCCAATGTCAAAAGAAACACCACTTTTATTAAATTAACCTTAGTAACGTGTTGGAAGATGTGTACATAATAATAATTATCGGTCATAAGTGGAAAATTGTCAATCATTTTTACATTGAAAAATGAGTATTAAATTCATTTTGAAACAAATTTTATTTGCTAAAGACATTTTTGAAATGGAGGGAGTATACACTTACAAAAGCATAAAATTATAATGCATGGTCAGAGTAACCTATAAATCACAATATTCAACCAGTTCCATAAGTTAATAACAAAATGAAAGATAAAACGGAGTAGTTGCAAGGAGAAGATGTTAAACAAAATGAAAATAGAGATGAAGCACGGTGTCGCAGGGAGAAGAGGACGCTGTCGTAGTGAGGAGGGTTGAGGGCGACGATAACAGAGGGGGAGAACGGATTGTTGAAGTTGCAGAGAAAAAAGGGGAAGGGGGAGCGTGGAAGTTGCAGAGAAAGGGAGAAGGAGAAAGCCGTCCGTGTTTTAGGGCTAGAGGATGGGAGCTCAGATTTTCATTTTAAGTAGACCGTTTTTTCAAATAAAAACCCGACTTGGTTTGAAAGGCCCAGTAAAATAGAAGCCCAACACATGTTCTTTTACGATTCCTGCTAAAAGATCTAGATCCTGACCACGCCGGCGACCAAGAACGATTTTGCTGTGATCGTAGGATTCTGCGATCCTACGACCCAACACAATCTTGAGATAATAAGTATTATAGGCGAAACTATTTTTTTTTTTGAAAATTAACAAACTTTATTATTAGCTTCCTTGATATATGTAAACAACCTTTAAATGACAACTAAAAGGTAGTATCTTTTTAGGGATTTGCCAAAAGCCCGGCTGATTCTTGCCTGCTTTGGATGTGGTATTTAATGAATCTTAATAAAATGACTCTAGAACTTTCAGCAGAGAGTAAAGAAGAAAAAATGAATCATGGATATGATAAGATCATAAGATATCATTTTAAGTAGTAAAAACTATAACAACACAAATAAAGAAAACAGGACTTCAAATTTATCGGAAATAACAACTCACCTTGAGCTGCCTTGAGCTAAACACTGGAGTTAAGTCATAATAGGGTGTTCAATCACATAAAACTTGAATGGGCAAAATTGCCTCCTTGTCTATACGTCATTACCTTTAAGTTCAAAAATGTCAAGAAAAATTGTTGGAAAGTAGGGCACACGCCAAAGCAGGTCAAGGAAAATGAAATTACCGAGTAAGTAACAAGTATACTCTAATGTGAGCCCCCACAAGCTTGTGGTGGGTAAGAACCTTGCAGAGAAGGTAAATCACACACTGAGCTTGGGCATTATAAGCACACTTTGGCGGGCAAATAAACTCTTTTTCCTTCATCCTTTAGCTTAATGGAAGTTGGTCTCTTGCCCTCATACTATTGCTACAGAAGAGGCATCTATGACTCACTTTTTGAGTGAGTAATTTAATTAAGTTTTTATTTTGTACAGGGTGCATTTTATGCTATATTTCACAATTTGAGATTCAAACCATGATTTTGAAAACCATAAACAAATGTATATGTTAAGAAGTGTGGTTGGGCCTAACTCAACCCTACAAAACCGGTTGGTAGAGTGAGGATTACCCCCACTTATAAACACATGTTCATGCCATATATTGTCCGATGTGGGACTCTTAACACACCCCCTCACGCTCAAGACTGGACATCTGAAGCGTGGAAATAAATGGTGGGTGGCCTGATAGCGGAAACCATAGAAGGTGGCCCACCGGATCTTAAACGAGGCTCTGATACCATGTTAAGAAGTGTGGTTGGGCCTAACTCAACCCTACAAAACCGGTTGGTAGAGTGAGGATTACCCCCACTTATAAACACATGTTCATGCCATATATTGTCCGATGTGGGACTCTTAACAGTATAAATAGTAGATGGTCTTGGATCTATTAAAATTCCAATGACACTTGATCAACTTTAGGAAAGAGGCTAGATATCATATAATCTGAAACCAAATAGCAGAATTGAATGATTTTGTACATTCAAGCAGAGTAACGTTTTTGAATGCTTGGGAACATTTGTAACATATATCATATAAACTATTACAATTATGTTCGTTCTCTTTCTGTGGACAAGAGTGAAAAATAAATCTACTCCTAATAGTAATTTAAGTTATGCTTTGAAGGTTGCATTCAATATAAAATTTATTTTTCTTGCTCTCGTTGACTTAGGGGAACTGGAAAGCACAGTCTCAGAGTTGGAAGAAAACAATCACAAACTTGCAACTCTTAAGGTAGAAAAGGATGCAGCCAAAGGGGCAGTTCTTCCAGTATTAACTGTTGGGAATACACATGTTCCTAATGATAAGATCAGAGACAAACAAAAGGATTTACAAGATATGGAATCTACTTTGAAGGAGCTACTGGTATAATTTCTGATTTTTTTTTTTTTGATTTGGTTTTATAATTTATAGGATATTTTATCTTAATTATTGAATTTCTTAGAACCGAGCTTCAACACGATTAGTGGAACTGAAAAGTCTTCACGAGGAAAGAATAAGATTATTGCAGCAATTGTGTGATCTACAGGTTTGTTTTCATTGTTTCATTCTCTACTTTGGTAATCTTACTCATATAGTTCCCTATCCCGAATAGTGGCGCGGAGTGGTTAACCCGCATCGGAATCTGTCATGTAATTTATTTTTATTTTTATTTTTATATTTATTAAATAATACTATACATAGACTATTTTTTACACCATTACTATATAGACTATAAGTTAATAAAAACTAAAAATAGCATTTGAGACTGGTTATTAAATGATTTAGACTAGAAATAGTTATTACTATATGTATACATTCTATTTTATGAAGTATATACCCACCTCATAGTCACCGTATTGAATTATTTATAAATGATTGTTGTTTTTTAAATGAAATGTTAATTACACTTAATTTTTTTTTTTGAAAAAATGTTGATTACTCTTCTTGATAAGACATGCATAGATAACTGAAATATCAATAGTAGCAATAAATATTATTTTGAAATAGGGAATCAAATCAGTAGAGGAAAATAAATAATAATATGGTTCTGATTCTAGGCCCAAACCACTCTTATCACTTATTAGAGACCCATGGTTCACTTAATACAAATAAAATAAGAATTAAAACCCTAGCTAATAAGAGATACACATCGTGTGTATTAATGTTGAAGAAGGTTGGAAGTGCTGGACTCGTCAGAAAATGTTGATTACTCTTGATAAGACATGCATAGATACCTGAAATATCAATAATAGCAATAAATATCATTTTGAAATAGGGAATCAAATCAGTGGAGGAAAAGAAATAATAATATGGTTCTGATTCTAGGCCCAAACCACTTGTCACTTATTAGAGGCCCATGGTTCACTTTATACAAATAAAAATAAAATAAGAATTAAAACCCTAGCTAACAAGAGATACACATCGTGTGTATTAATGTTGAAGAAGGTTGGAACTGCTGGACTCGTCAGATAATGCAAAAGATGATCGAAAAACCCGGATGGAATGATTCCAGAGTGGAAAGAAGGCTGTCGAAAAAAGTGAGGAAGTCTAGTTTTCCTTTTGTTTTTGAGCGTGCTCTTCCCCTTTCCTGGTATGATGTAACGCACACCCAACATTGTGATTTGGGCAGCGGCCTCTATGACTGTACCTTGAATATGCGGCGTTACTGCTGCAGTACAGTGTCCACCCTGCCCGCCTCTACAGTGCCACTATTTAGCACTATTGAAACCCTAGGTTTTACTATTGTTTATGATTATGATGTTATGCACATTTGTTTGTATATTTTCCTTTTCTATCACAGCATAGTTTTTGACTTCAAATGATTACATCAGAACACATTGAAGAATTTGAAGTGTATTACCTCTTCCCATGCGTTCCAATTGGTTAAAGATCAGATAGAAAAATCAAAATCGGAAGTGCAGGAGTATCAGGCCTTATATGAGAAACTACAGGTTGTTACTGGTCGGTAGTTTCATTTGTGCCTTGTGATTGTTATCCCATTTGGTAGAATATATTTCTGATGATGACATTCTTGCTCCCGATTATGCTTATATATACTTGTAGGCTGAGAAGGATAATCTTGCATGGAGGGAGAGGGAGTGGTACATTAAAAATGATTTAGCTGATCTTTTTCAAAGATCTGTGACAGTTTCTGATCTTAGAGTTGCTGATATACACACTGAGATACAGAAAATGATCGAGCAAAAAAAAGGGATTGAAAACAAGCTTAAAGAGGAAGCAAGAGAACAGGGTTGGTATTTCCTCTCTTATCTTTGTAAAGCATGATATTCAACTCCTTTATGGTTAATTATGGGTGTTGCATTTGCCTTTGCTTCAGGAAGGAAAGAAATTATTGCTGAATTTAAATCTCTGCTTTCTTCGTTTCCTGAGGAGATGGGGTCCATGCAAACTCAGCTTAGTAAGTTTAAAGAATCAGCTTCAGATCTCCATTCTCTGCGTGCAGATGTGCATTCTATTTCCAGTACTCTTGATCGGAAGGTTGGTGTTTGCTTACATGAACTGTACCTTTTAGCAACATAAAATCACAGTTCCTTATGAATGTTTGTTTTTCTAAATACCAGGTAAAAGAATGTGACACATTATCTGTTAGGTCTGCTGGTCAACTTGCCGAGATAAACAGACTTCTTGCTGTGGTATGTCGATCTTTTGCTCTTGGAAAAAAATCAGGCACACTGAGTTGTTATTCTTCAAACTCGCCCGCCCTATTTATGATATATTGTTGTTTCTTGAAATTTCTGTTATGTAGATGCCAGTATTGTGTACCAATCATAACAGAAAAAGTTGGGCAATATAGCTTGTATTTTTTTATCATTGAAAGGTGTTACTTTTTCTGTCATTTATTAAGTGTAAGTTACATGTTGTTAAAAGTCACTTAGTAGTGTCTTTACGTGTAGGCAACCGACACATAGCTTCCAATTTCTTTGGGCCAGCAACCTTCTGCATACATGGTGTTCCTCAAATACTCCAAACTATGTTGACCAAGTCAACATTTTCTTTTATCCACCTTCAATTTATCTTGCAATACTTGGAGGACCTTCCTCAAGTGAGTGACATGGATTTCCACATTTCGGCTGTAAATCAAAATGCCATAAAAAAGCCCAATACAAATTTTCTAAGAACTAGCTTGAGTATTTCATCCGTGAATGATTGGAATGTAGATGGTGCACATTTGTTTGAATATCAAGTAGACGGTGCACCTGATATTCCAAAAGGCATTACCAGAAACTCTTAGTGCCCTTCACGTTGTCCATATAAAGTCTTCATAGCAACTTAGAGAACACCTTAGAATGCCTAATTCATCCAATAAGTCATCTTTGACAAGAATAAGTACTTTGTTGGGTATTGTTTTGTTTAAAGCCCTATAGTCCACACAATCTCAACATGCCATCCTTTTCCTTTACCACGTCCATTGGACTAAAATATGAGTAATACATGTTCTAATAATGCTTGCTACCAATGCTTCATTCTCTTAACCTTTCAGTTTCAACCTTTTGGTAGTTAAGGTACCCTGTTGGGTCTAATACTATGTGTATGGCTTGTGGTAATCCTTTGGGTGCTTTAGAAACATTTTCAAGCTCATGCAGAACCCCTTCAACATCCTCAACATTTCTTCTTTGCAGAATAATCTGTTATGGCATTGCAGTCAACAATTAAACTCTGATCTTGTTTATCATTGACTTTATTGAAACTACAGACATGGCCAATTCTGACTCTATAGTCTATTTGTAATATTAGGACTGTGATCCGACTCTAGGTTTTCTCTCATTCAACATTTTTCATTTGATGATAAATATTGATTGATGCCTTTATTATTAGTTCTGCCTTATGAAGAATAATTTTAATTACTATTTACTCCCTCTGTCTCAAATTATAAGTCACTTTGCCAAAAAAAATTGTCCCAAATTATAAGTCACTTTACATTCGCAATGCAATATTAATGGCATTTTTCCCAATATACCCTCAAGTATTTATTATTTATTTTTTCAACTCTTTTAATTTCTCTCTCCTGTGTAATTACGAGGGGCATTACTGTAAAGTCATACATAATTTCTCTTTCTCATAAAGTAATAATTAAGTTTCTTAATTCGTGTGAAATGACAAAAACGTCTTATAATTTCGGACAAAAACGTCTTATAATTTCGGACGGAGGTAGTATGATGTATGTCAATTCATATAAGTGGTTGCTCTTAGGTTTGTATGTATCAAAGGATAGAATTATCTAAGTTAGTAGAAGCCCCACTGTAACAGGCCTAAACCTTGTCACACTGAATTCCTCTCTAACTGAGATGTAATCTAACTAACTGACTGGCTGACACGTGTCAGTTATAGTAAACCGGCTATAGCCATTCTCTCCCTATCCTTTAGGCAACCTCTAAATGGGATTAGCCTCTATTGTAGTTGCAACAGAATTCATTCAATCAAACTTGAGAAGCTGACTAGATCACTCTGTTCATACATCTCCACACTTTCTGCATCTATGAATAATTGCAAATTACAGTTTCAGAAATTCTAATGATATGAGGATGAAGGCAGATAGAGATGACTTTCTATTCCGTCTTTTCCTTTTCTTGTTATTATAAGCTTTCCTTTGTTTTTGATACAGGTTCAAGATTTGCGAGTGACTCAGGATGAGATGAAGTTGATACTGCGAATGTATAGACACGAGACCATTGATTCAAGGTGTGGATTTCAATTCTCAACTTGAATTCATATGATCTTCGAATTGTTCTGGACACATATTTTCCAAAACAAAAGATAATAAAACTTTTGAAAAATGACATGTAAAAGCTATGACCATTTTTGTTGAGCCAATGATGAGGTAAAATGATGTGCCTCATCCTTAAATGCATGAAGCAGGATATGTGGAACACTAACAGAGATCTGTGTCTCAGGGATGTCATGGAAGCAAGGGAAGCAGAATACAGAGCATGGGCGCATGTTCAAAGTTTGAAATCATCTCTTGATGAGCACAACTTAGAACTTCGAGTTAAAACAGCAAATGAATCAGAAGCCAGATCACAGCAAAACCTTGCTGCGGCTGAAGCTGAGATTGCAGACACGAGACATAGATTAGATGATTCTAAAAGGTTAATCTCCAACTTAGTGTTATTAATTGAGAGTATCCTCTAATCTGATGTACTACTTAGTTCTTTTCAATTGCTGCCTTAGGACACATATATCTATTTTATCTACCTTGTGCATCTTTGATGAAGTTTTGCAAATGTTTACGTGTACTTTTGTTCTTCTACCTTTTTGGTTGTTTGGTTTTGTTTGTCAAGAATAGAGATGGTTTATGATGGTTGGTTTATATGATCTTTTAATTTGTCCTCTCCTATCCTCATTATAGATTCTTTGAATGAATTTTTTCATACCTAGTCTCTATTGATTATGGTTTCTAGAGTTGTTATTTAGGAAACATGGCCTCATTTTTTATACGCTTCTATGTGAAAGTTTTCACGTGCTTCGAATTGTTGAAACCAAGTAACTTTGTCGTTGTTCTGTAAATGTTCATTATATGTTTCTGTTTTCAATTGTATGGCTTTAGTTATATGCTATAATTGCTACTCCCTCCGTCTCATAAAAAGTGTCATATTTGAGCAATGCACGAGAAAATGATTAGATGTGTTGATTTTAATGATATAACTAATATTATTTACTAAAATACCCTTAATTATAGTTAATAGAGTAGTTGAATAAAGTGAAAGTTAATAAATAGGGGTATAGTAGTGGAAAAATAATAATAAATGCTGCATTGGTATTGTTAAAGGACAATTATTTTAAGACATAGAAAAAGTACAAATGAGACACTTTTTATGAGACGGAAGGAGTAATAGTAATCACAGATGATTTTTCTAACCCACGCCGTTTGGATTTTTCAGGGGGATGTGTAAAATGTCTGATGTCTTAAGAACTAAAAATGAAGAAAATGAAGCCTACTTATCTGAAATAGAGGTTGGATTTCTTTTCTTGAAGGAACGGAGTTCTTTCTACATGACAATTTTTTCTAATTATTCAGTTTGTAAAATTTATCCAATTTTTACAATGTTAATTTTTGCCTATCTCTGGATGATTTCCCTACAGACTATTGGACAAGCATATGATGACATGCAAACCCAAAACCAACATCTGTTGCATCAGATTACTGAGAGAGATGATTACAATATTAAGGTATTTATCTTAAACTAGGTTGCACCGATATAAGTGTAATTTGAAAATCATTCTAATTTAATTTGACGTCTTTACCATTTTCATATAGACTAGACTCAAGTTATAGTTTGGAAACCTGTAATCAGATATGGATATAAATCTAAGATTTTTTCATATTTATAGAAAAAAAATCCTCTTCCCCCACTGTCATCGATAAAAAAAAATAGAAGATGAGCAGTACAAGAATAAGATGAATTAAATAGAAATGAAATTGAACAAGCTGACTAAGCAGCTTTTCAAGAAATGCATTTTGTCGGGCATGCTCTCTTTTGTACTATAAAAATTCCTTGCATATCAACTTTCATTCAATAACCATCAAAGGTTGTTGGGTTGAGGACTGACTGTAAAATCAATGAAATATGGAGTATTTTAATTTTAATTTTGATCTCACAGCCAAAGCAAATTCTGGATTTGGGCTTGGTTCACGTCATATTGATTTAATCAGATATTAATTGCATAGAGAAAATGAATTGAATCTTCCGTTTGTCGATAATTATTTTGTACTTGTTGTATATGCTGTTTTTATTGGTTACATTTTGATATATGTTGCATCTCTGTTGTAGCTTGTTTTAGAAGGTGTAAGGGCCAGACAAAAACAGGATTCTTTGATTTTGGAGAAGCGATTAATGGATCAAGAGAACCAGCAATCAAATGTATCTTTGAATTTATACAATACCAAAGCTGCAAGAATTGAAGACCAGGTAGCTAGGTCTTGATTTAAATCACTCGTTATTAGATGTGAATTTGGAATTGACTTCTGTTTACTTAATATGCAGTCGAGGTTTTGCTCAGATCAGATTCAAAAACTTGAGGACAACAAACTTCAAAGTTCTGCCTGTTTGGAAAATACACAAAGAAGGCTGTCAGATATTAGACCATCATCGCAACAGGTTAGGGATTCAGTGGTGGAATTGCAAGCTAGAATTACCAGTAGTCGGGTGACTTGTATGGAGTTACAAACCGAACTTGAGAAAGAAAGGTATTTAGTCTATATTATTTTCAAGTTATTATCTTCAAATGTTACTAGTGCACAGAAGTTACGGAGTTTGTTTTTTTGTTACTAGGTTTGCCCAAAAAACAGTAGAGGAAGACCTGGAGGTTGCTAGGAGAAACTTGTCACAACTTAAAGCACAAAATGAGGATTCCTCGGTAACTGATAAGCTTCAACAGGAACTTGGAGAGTACATGGAAATTGTCAAGTGCAGTATCTGTCGAGACAGGACAAAAGAGGTAATTTTTTTTATTCCTGTTTGAGCTTTTAGATAAATTTATTGAGGTTTGTTAAGCTGCAATTGATGCTGGAGAGTATCAACAATGGGTTGTGCCTCAGTTGACAAAATGAGCTCCCAGTGTCGGAGTCGTGTCGTGTCCCGTGTCTGTGTCGGGGTCCTTGCTTCATAGGCTGCAATTAAGGTGACTAGGGGCAGACCGCAATTAAGGCGGGAACTCCAACAGTTGCTTTGTTTTAGGCTTAGGTACATTTCCTTATCTTCCCTTAAATTGTACCACTGAAGATATTTGTGTGAAATAAGCTTCCTCCACAGGAAAGGGTGCATCCTGGTACATCTTTAATGCCAGCCACAGTTACAAGTGTACGATCTGCAGTAACTACTTATTGCTAGGAGTAGGGGAGAATCTAGAGAACTATTTAGATGTCCTAAGGCTTGTGGCAATGGAGTCATAAATCCAGAATAGGGTGGAAGGGACTTTTGAGAAGATAAACCGAAATAAATGTGAAAAATATCCGACTATGCCAGAGTACAAGTACCTGTGTTTTTTCAGGTTGAATAAAACTGCCATCCTTTCTATTTCTTCACCTTTTGATGTTAGGGATAGTAAGATGAGACAAACGGAAGGGCAAACAGCCCCAAGATGGGATTTGTAGACGCCCAAAAAAGGGACAAACGAAGAAGCCAACTACCAAATAAGGTTCAATGAAGGTTAACGATTCATAAGAGGCCTAAACAGCAGTGGGCAACTCCCTTTTCATTTTTAAAATTAGATTTTCAGATGATTTTTTGGTAAACTTAATTAAGTATACAGTTGCATTATTTAAGATTGATATCACTTCGTCAATAAGGAAGTGATATTACTCCACGGATACTTGGATAAAACTAATAAAAGCTACCATCTGATTTCACGATTTCCTTAATTTATTTTACTGCACTATTGTATGGTTGGATATATTGTAAGCAATATTTTCAAATTAATATGATCTATTGTGAATTAAAATTTGGAAAAACATTTCACCTTCTTTTTGGGTGTTTTCTCATATTTTCAATTTTTTTGTTAGGTGGTAATTACAAAATGCTACCACTTGTTCTGCAACTCATGTATCCAGAAAATTGCTGGGAGTCGGCAGCGCAAATGTCCACAATGTGGTGCATGCTTCGGGGCCAATGATATTAAGCCGGTTTATCTGTAACTATGTTCAACTACTGAGATCAGGAACATTGGCAGCAATCCATGAGTGCCTGTCTCCTTTTCTTTTGTACCAAAATGATTCTTTTTGCCGGTACTTGAAGTTTCTTAGTACCATGTATACTCTTTCTTGAAATATGGGATGCTTGATTTTACTCCGTGGAAAGAATTGAAAGCCACAAGAAACGTGAAATCCGTTCTTTGCAGGTTTATCAAAATTCTTCTTCCGAATGAGATTTGGAAAAGGCCATTAAGGTTGCTCTTTGACTGTACAATTAATATTTCAAAATGTTAATAGCCCGAACTGGCCATGATGGCTTTACGCATTGGAAGTTAACGCATAAGAGAGCAATGAAATGTCTTGCTTTTTAGATCAATAGTTTTTTTTTTCCTGCTGCTACGGCAGAAGTTCAATTTTTTTGCTTCAGAGGCATGTGGTGTTGTACTTGTATATATCTTAGATTTATAAGGGGGTCGTCCAATTTTGGTTTATCATAGCTTGTAATCTTATACATGATATGCCAAGATATCATTGTAATTGATGTGTTGTAATCTTTGAATGCCCATTTTATCATAGCTTGCGTTTTTATTATGACTTTCAACCTTTCAACTCTGTTCTAGATGTGCAACTTGTTGATATGGCTGAAATTGTTATACTTTTACCAGTATGGGTTGACTTAAGTTTTTTAAAAGAAATAAATGAGTATTAGAAAAAATGAGATTTTTTTGCCAATATAGTGGTGTCTGCTGATAAATATTTAATTTATTTGATTATTTGATTGGGGACTTGGTGTGTAAAAAGAAATGTATTTGAAAAAACTTGAATGAATTTTCTTGAATATTTTCATAGTTGCACGTGAGAATACAATTGACTTTTTTTAAATTGCTTTTCTCGTATAAAGCATATTCGTTAGGTGAAATTTTCGGGTTTTGAATCCGTAAGGCTTTGGACCATGAGTTATTATTTGACTGTGATATTATTTTGAGTAATCACGTTGATAAATCCAACTTATGGTTGTAATGACAGGTAGAAAGTTGGTTGGTTAGTTACACGTGAGTAGGGCTGGCAATGAACCAAACCAACTCGAAGATAGTTCGGAATTCGACTCGACAATTAAATCGTTGAACTAGGTTCATGAACCAAATGAGTTGAGTATGAGCGAAAAATTAAGTTCGTTAACTAAATGAGCTGAACTTGAACTATACATAGTTCAACTCGTTAGGTTCATGAGTCAACTCGATTACATATGAAAAGAATTATACTGTCTTTAAGATTAGGTTTAAATATTTACTTCAAATCTTAGACAAATTTAATCTTCAATTTAGTAGTTTTTGAATTAGACTCTCAAATGTATCTCTTGAAAGTTGTGTAGGTTTTGAATTAGTAGATTTCGAAGATAAAGTTAAATTTCAATATGATAACTTTTATTTTATTTTAATATTTTATTTAAAATATATATATTTATTTAAAATGTCAAATATACTAAAAAATATATATATTTAAAAAAATAGTTTTTAAGTTCGTGAACCATGTGAGCTGAACCTAATGAGATGAATCTAACGAGTCGAACCGAACTGTTCGTGAACTTATAACGAGTCGAGTTTGAGCTTAAAAAAAAGTTCGTGTCAAACTCGAACTCTAACTCGAATTCGAACAATTCTTAACGAGTCGAGCCGAGCTGAGGTGAGTTCGAATCGACTCGACTCATTTCCAGCCCTACACGTGAGATAAGTTATCACATATTGTTAGAATATGCGATGTAGTTAGCTTACATTCCATTTAACTTGTAACCACTTTTCACTTATGGTTAATTTAACTTGTAACCACTTTTCACTTATGGTTAATTTCAGGTAGTTAGTTGGTTAGAGGGTGACTATAGGGATAGATTCACCGCCTCTCTTTTCTCCGACAATGCGACTTACAACGCTGTCCACCATTTGAGAATCCGAGGGTTTTTCAACCAATTCTTGTACCATCCAACGCTGATCCTATCACAGTGGCCCTGTTCGCAGCAATCAACTAGACTAACTTCATGATTTTCCAGCAGAATGAACGAATTATGGAATGCTGGAGAAAGACTATCGATCACGCTCTCCCCTGCGGAGACATCGATGGTCTGAATCTCGTAGCCCGTCCCCGCAACGTCGAGACACTCGTCCATGCTCTCCCCTGCGGAGACATTAACAAAACGAGTCTCAAAGACTCTCTCTACGACAACCTGAATGTTGCCTGTGACTAGAAAGGCCACAACCTGCAATTACCCAAAAGCGTGAATGTACTCCTCCCCACAGGGAGCGGTGCTCCCCCGTTTCCAAGAGGAGCAAAGCCAGCGGACAACTAGACAAGTTAAGGGGTCAACTAAGAAACTCGTCGCACCGCAACGAAAGCCCTCGACACGGCCCGTCTCCGTCGCGCTCACGAGTCCGAAGCGACAAAGACGACTCCCGCAGTCCATTGTCCTGAGCGATTATGGAAACTCCCCTCCCTGTCGGGATGGAAAAACTGCAAAGTTTGGCAGCCTATGATGGCACGACGAACCTAGACGATGCGTTGCTAGACTACCGCGATGTCAAAGGCGCCATCAAGTGCAGACTCTTCCCCACCACTCCGAGGAAGGGTGCCATGACATGGTACAAAAGCCTCACCTCGGAGTCTATCACTTCTTGGAAGGATCTGAAAACACATTTCACCAGGCATTTCACCGCCTCTTGATGACATCTGAAATCTAAGGCGTCACTCGAGGCCATCATACAGGGCAAAAATGAATCTCTCCGAGCCTACATAGAGAGGTTCAATCGAGAAGCCGTCCAAATTACCACAACTGACAATATGAAAAGATACCTGCTCGAGCGAGGGTTGTGCCCCCGCAGTGACTTCGCCAAAGCAGTTGTCATCGAAACGCCTCGTTCGCTGGATGACCTTCTCCTCAAAGCCCATGCCTACATCTAATACGAGAAGAAAGAGGCCACCAACAATGCCCGCGACTCACGGAATCAAGAGAACACCAAAGTCTTGAAGTATGGCGACCCTGTGGCTCCTCGACAAGGCAGGGAGAAAAGAAGAGATGATACGTCTCGCGACTCCCCCGAGCACAGAGGACCAGCAGGCCGCTCCCCGCGAGCGCATCCTAGCCCAGTGTATAAACTTGGATTTCAAACAAAGTGGGTTCGTTTTCCAAAGTCGACGCCCCCATGTCAAATGTTGACAAATCCAAATACCTTTGGTTTCACAAAAGCCACGAGCACGTCACCAAAGACTGCATCCACCTTAAGGATGCAATCGAGATCCTCATCAAGGAAGGACGCCTAAAATAGTACACCAAGAGGAACAAGACTCCTCGACAGGACGTCTGTGAGACGAAGAAGACCATGGAGGAAACATCACCCTCTGACGACGTGAGCTTACAAGCCGCCCTTTGTGTCTCTCGGCCTAAGGACTTCTACATCCCCAACGAGGCCGGCACACTATTGTCTACCCACAACACATGGGAAAAATTCCCCTCCGCTATGGTCATATCCGAAGGAGGATTCAACAAGCTCACCGTGGGGTTGGTGAAAAGAAAATTCGATGAAATGATCGACGCAAGCTCGAACCAGAATGCAATCCTTGACAGGTTCTGGAGAAAATCAGATCCCATCACCTTCTACCTCGAGGAGCTGCTAGATGGTTCTCCCAACTTCAGCATTCCTTTGCTCGTGAGAGCACAAATGGAAAACTTCGGTGCCCGCCGCATCCTGGTCGACCAAGGGAGCTCCGTCGATATCATGTACACTAATATGTTCACCATTCTTCAACTTGACGAGAGGAATTTGACACCATATGTAGGCTCCAACCTCCAAGGCTTCAATGACACGACCACTAAGCAATAGGGCTATGTCGAGCTGCTTGTAACCTTTGGGGCATAGGAAATTGTCAGACAAGTCAAAGTCCGTTTCCTGGTCATAGAGTGCCCATCTCTGTACCAGTGCATCATAGGAAGACCAACTCTGGTTGAGCAGGCCGCCGTTCCATCCGCGGTCCATTTGAAGATGAAGTACTATACGACCAGGGGTCGTGTCATCACTCTTCACGGGGACATTAAAGCCACGAGAAGATGCTTCGAAGCAGCCACAAAGGGGAAGAACTCGTTCAAAATGACACCCAAGACTGCCAACAAACCAACTCGATAAGAGGATAAGAAGTTATGGCCTCGCGTCAACTTAGTCGACCTCGACAACTGCTTCACCAACAAGCAGAAACAAAACGGAGAACAATCAGAGGCTTCTCTAACATCTAGTAACGACGGGGAACCTCTCCACCCTAGGCGCCTCATTCCAGATGACGAGTTCGAGCTCATTCTTCTCGGGGATGACCCGGACAAAGGCTTGAAGATCGGCACGGGACTCCCCGACTTAGTAAGGAAGCAACTAAAGGCATGCCTAAGGGAAAACACTGACTTGTTCGCATGGAACACTGCAGAGATGTTTGGGCTGGACCTCGACGTTGCCTACCATCAGCTGACCATAGATGCCGCTAGAGCCGTAGTTCAACGTAGGCATATGCAGTCTCCCGAGAAAGCGGAGGCTGCTGAAAAAGATGTAAAAGACCTTCTAGAGGCTAATTTTATTTTTGAAGCCTAGTACATAACCAGGTTGTATAACTTTGTAATAGTTAAAAAATCTAATAGAAAATGGTGAATGTGTGTTGACTATACCGATCTTAACAAGGCTTGCCCCAAAGATTCATATCCTTTACCTAACATTGAAAAATTGGTCGACAACTCTGCAGGTTTTAAACTATTGTCATTCATGGACGCTGTTGCGGTGAGAATCAGATATCAAGCTATTGAATTAACTTGAATCACAAATCATTAAGTTCACCATCGAGCTTTGATTTATCCAAAGGAAAGGATAAAGATCGAAGAAAACCCTAAGTGCGCTATGTAACAACACAACTAAGAGATCTAAGGTTCGGGGGTTGGTTATACCTAGGGAAGGTGTTAACATCCTAAGTATCTGTAGTAC